TTTTCTATCTTCTTGGTTGGGGATGGGAGCTCCTGACTACTTTTCTATTTTCTTGGTTGGGGTGGGAGCTCCTGACTACTTCTCTATTTTCTTGGTTGGGGATGGGAGCTCCTGACTACTTTTCTATCTTCTTGGTTGGGGATGGGAGCTCCTGACTACTTTTCTATCTTCTTGGTTGGGGATGGGAGCTCCTGACTACTTCTCCATCTCAGTGCTGGGACCCTGTGCAGCACTGCAGGATTTGTGTAGGTCCTGTGAATGATGTCACAGCCTCTGTGAGTTCATATGTGTGACAGTCCTAGCAGGGATGTTTTGATAGAATTCTTTATTTCTTTTGAATTTTGCCTTGTTGTACCTGAAGTTTACCTCCATTCTTTTAATTCCTTTGCATGGTTCTCTACTTGTTTGTAGATTACATAGTATGTGAAATAGTGCCCACCCCATTTTTACTTCCTGTTCTGTTCTGTTTTTTCCAGTGTGTCTGGCAGCCCAGGTTGGCCTTGAACTTGCTATGTGGTTTAGAACCTATCCTGCCTCTACTGCCCAAGTGATGAGATTGTAAGCATGTGCCATCACATCCAGCCATTTTACTTTTTCTACCTTTTATTGTGGGAGGGGTCATGTGCCCAGGATCAAAGATTATATTTTGATTTTTAATGTAATACTATGGCAAAGTGCTTATAAATTGTTATGTCCTCCATGAACCTTTGTTTTTTAAAACTAATTACCCGTTTTCTGAAACATAGTAACTGCTTCTTTTATCCTTATTAAGGATGTGTGCCTTTAGGTTCTCTTATTAAATGGTCACATCTTGAGTTTATATTTTCAATCAGCTACCTGAACTTTACAATAAAAAATTTTAAATTGTTGTCTTGTGATCATTACCTGTTATGCTTCAGTTATGCAGGAGTAATTGGGTGAGATTTGCAGCCAGGAAGCTGAAACCAGGAAGAACTAGAGTGAGAACAGGAAATCAAGAACTGCTGTGTTTTTCAATTACTGATGGGTTGAAATTTGTTACTTTGTGACATTGCTAAAAACAATCAGGTTGAAATTTGTTACTTTGTGACATTGCTAAAAACAATCTGATCAATTCATCATTGTCTTTATGATGGGGGCATTTTCATACATTCACTTTACCAGTGGAGTTAAGTAGAACAATTCTTCCTTTCTACAAGTGTATAGTATAAATTGATTGCCATGACTGGAATGATTAAGAATATTCAATTATATGCTGTGTTACTTTTCTCCTTGCATTGACACATGCTGGACAAAAGCAAACCACAGAAGAAATGGCTTGCCTTGCTCCACAGTTTGAAGGGACAGTCCGTCATGGTGGGAAATCATGGCAGCAGAAGCCTGAGCACATGTGTCTACAGTCACTGATGAATGCTGGTGCTTAGCTCACTCTCCAGTTCAGGATTTGGCCCCAAATTCCAGCTCTTCCCTTCTCAATCAAACCTTTCTGGAAACTCCCTCTTAGACCTAGAGAGTGTTTCCATGGTGATTCCAGATCCTGTTAGGTTGACCATGAAGATTTACCGTCATCTTTGCTAAGAACATGCAATAGTGCATTGAGAACCGAATACCTGCCAGTTATAGAGAAAACCTTTTTGTAGTCTCTCTCTGATTTTCTGTTCACAAGTGACATCATTTGTAATTAGAATAAAGAGAAATTTATACCCATTTGCTATGTTCTGATTTTTGGTTACCAAAAGCTACATGGCCAAATGGTTGTCCATGGTTCTTTTTCTTCATCTTTATGCTGAACTAGGGAATTAATTAACAGGACAGGAATAGAGAATGGAGATGCCTGCAGGCATCTTCTCAAACTTTTTGGTTCTAAGATCCTTTTATACTCTTACAAATTGTTGAGGATAGCCATAGCTTTTATTTGTGTTCTCTATAAATATTTACCTTATTAGTAATCTAAACAAAGTTGTAAACTGTATATGGATTCACTTAGAATAATAATAAATAAGCCAGGTGGTGGTGGTGCAAACTTTTAATCCCAGCACTCAGGAGGCAGAGCCAGGCGGATCTCTGTGAGTTCGAGGCTAGCCTGGTCTACAAAGTGACATCCAGGTACCAAAACTATGCAGAGAAATCCTCTCGAAAAAACAAAACAAAACAAAACAACAACAATAATAATAAACAAGGTAACAAAATTTAATATGAAAAATAGCTGTAGTTTCAAAAGCAAAAACATTGAGAAAGCAGCATTATTTTTTAGTTTTGCAAGTATCTGATGTCTAGCTTGCTTAAAGACAACTGTATTATATTTACTTCTTTATTCAATTTATTGAGAAGTTAAAGTGTTTTTAAATTTCTTGAAGGTTGGTTTTAATGTGGTATTTCAAACCATGTGACTGAACTTTTCCTATATTAGTTATCTTTATTGCATTAGAATCTTTTTGTCTTGCACTGTGAATGAATCTGTGGATGATTTTTGTGACATTATGCCTTGGCAATTGGAAAATACTGGTTTACTGAATTAGATATGTCTTTCAAGTGTTGGCACCCTTTATTGTATATCAAACATTCATGTGTATTAATATTGTCATTGATCTTAGAAAAAGAAGAGGCCTGAGTACTAGGCAGATACAAACAATCTAAAATTCAGATCTTTTAGTTAAGAGCTGTCTTTTTTTTTTGGTTTTTCAAGACAGGGTTTTTCTGTGTAGCTTTGTGCCTTTCCTGGAACTCACTTGGTAGCCCAGGCTGGCCTCGAACTCACAGAGATCCACCTGGCTCTGTCTCCTGCATGCTGGGATTAAAGGCGTGCGCCACCACCGGCCGGCTAAGAGCTGACTTTTATGACTGGTGATAAATACTGTTAATTTTTCTTGAGGTAAAAGGCTATCTTCATTCA